ATAGATAGATAGATAGATAGATAGATAGATAGATAGATAGATAGATAAGCATCACAATTTGCAATACACAGATAGACACTAAATAGATAGATAAAATGCATAAAGAAATTGTTTGGAGAGTTGTAGACATTTTACCTCTTATATTAAAAAAATTACATGGATTTTAAAAAAAATATATCTGCAGATTTGCTGATTTTATTCTCAATATATGTAGGGTTTTTTTTTTTTTTTTGTGATTTGTTGATCAAAATAGACATTTGAACTTTTTAAAATTAATGCAAGCTTAATATTTCAACCAGAAAATAGTGTTATCATGTATTTATCAATAGTAAAATAATACATACAATGTTTTTTTTAATATCGCACACGTAATGATAAAATCTTCCGTTACTGTACATACTGCTTTTTTTTTTTATTACGCAACCGGTACTGTTCGAAAACGTAGTACTAGTATTTTTTCGTAAGTAGCGCTCGTGTTGTCTGTTGCTAAGCAACAACGTAAAAAAAATTCAGGCATGAATAATCGAGTGCCATTTTTCTACCTTGTAAGTAACGTTAAAAACATCGATCGACTTTTCCGCCATCTTTATTTTTTAGCTTTGCCTGGCACCCATGCGACTGCTGTAAACCTGATTCTGATATTTTCTCAATGCTAGTGCTAGCTAGCTAAAACTCCGGCGTACTGTCTCTGTGCCTACAATGACTGCTAACATATTTATACCTCAGTGACATTTAGTTCGTAGTCTTCGTACTGGAACTGTTGGAAACGATGGGGTTACCGCAGAGCTCGTTTTTGTCGGACGGAGGAAGTAACTGTGGATATCACGTCCACGGGGTAGGTTGTAGTACAAGGTTACGCGCTTGTCCCTCATCATGCCATGTTTTCTGTATAGTAATTACTATTAAAGATGGAGAACATACTAAATATGGTAGAAGTGAGACAAAATAATGGAAGTATTTGTTTGTGAAAAGCCGGACATGTGAGTTTACTCGGAAGTATCCAGGTGATGAGGTGGCATTTGGTCCACACCCAACGTCTTTGTCTCTCCTGGGAAAATTGAAGTGTTGAACTATTTGGTGTAGAAAGTTTCCTCGAGATAAAATTTAAAGTTACATAAAACGTATTACCATGCGAGGATCGCAAGTTGGGATGCTTATCTAGAGCCCCACGTTGTTTTTTGACAGCTGCAGTACCGGAAGTGGACACACGAGGGACAGCACAGTTTTCCTGCTGTTTCACTCAATGTCGAAAATGTGCTGTTTTTAAGGTTCAAGAAAACTCACCTGCACTGAAAGCTGGTCTGGAGCCTTTCTTTGACTTCATTCTGTCTATAGGAAACACCAGACTTGTAAGTAGACTCTTTTGATACTTGCATACAAATGTTAACACTATTTATAATCAAAGCAGTAACTGGGTTTAGGCCTCCGAACTGTCAAACTTGTCAAAACATTGATGCATTCATTATATGTGAAATGTATTTTCTAAATGACATATGAATTCATGCAAAGATTTCAAATGGGACAGTGTCAAAGCATTGTAAACAAAAAACATACAACTGGTGTGGACATGCTCTATTATAAGAATGAAGAATTATTATGACTAATATACTTGTTTAAAAAGTCAAACATTTCCTTATTGTTGTTAAAGAAGTTACAAGAGGTGCAGTTTGTTGATTTGAGTTCAAATACGCAGCAGATATCGTGCAACAATCATTTAGTATTTTTATGTAAATTGCTTATAGGTCAATTTTTTGAGCCGCTGCTTTATTTTTATTTAGGATTTACTGTCAGCAGGTTTAAAGAGTTACTCTTTAAATGTTACATAAGCGTATTGATTAAAACATCTCAGTTCTTCGTACAGATTTAGACTATTTAAGCCAGTTTAACTGAATGTGTGTAATTAATGTGCATTTTGAACCTTTGTTGTTTGTGTTTTCTCTTCAGTAAAAAAATTCAATGTAAAATAAAGTGTGATAGCGTCAACGGTAAAATTGTGCTGAGTTCGCTCACTTTTTCGTCTTTTTTTTTTTTTCTCCCCAGAGTAAAGAAAGTGATTTGCTGAGGGACCTCCTGAAAGCCAATGTGGAGAAAGCAGTCAGACTTGAAGTTTACAACTCAAAAACGCAGCGCGTGAGGGAGCTGGAGGTGACACCCAGCAACATGTGGGGGGGTCAGGGTTTGCTGGGTGCTAGCGTCCGATTTTGCAGCTTTGAAGGAGCCAATGAGAACGTCTGGCACGTCTTGGTAAGTTAGCACAACAATCTTATGGCAAATAGATGAGCTAATCTTTTTTCAGTCATTTAATTTATTAACGAGTTTCTACTAAAGCCTTGTTTTCCTTTTTAGGACGTGGAATCAAACTCTCCTGCAGCACTGGCTGGCCTCATTGCTTATGATGACTTTATTGTTGGAGCTAATCAGGTGTTACTAGATGTAAAATATTTTTAATTGCATTTTTACTTAAATAAAATGACACATTTATACACAGATGATCAAAAACAAAGAAATGCAAAATATATATAGATATATGTTTTGTTTTCTTGCAGTCAGAAGATTTCTTCTCTTTAATTGAAGCCAATGAGGGGAAAGCTTTGAAGCTCCTGGTTTATAACACACAGACCGACCAGTGCAGGGAGGTGGTGGTGAATCCAAATGGAGCGTGGGGAGGAGAAGGAAGGTAGGTCATTTATTTATCCTTTTTCCAGATGGAACAAAAGTTTTTCTGTTTTGTTTTTTTCCTAACCATTACCTTTTTCTAACCTTTTTTTAGCTAAAGTCTTAGAAAATGTTGTTTTTATGCAGTTACAACCTGTTTTAGAAAACCATGGTATTTATGAAACGTTTCAGTCTGGATTTAGAACCCGTCATTCTACCGAATCAGCCCTATTAAAAGTCCATAATGACATTTTCATGTCCATGGATGCCAAGTGTCCCGTTGCTCTGGTGTTGCTGGACCTTACAGCTGCGTTTGACACAGTGGACCACGCTGTCCTGTTGTCTCGTCTTCAACATTATGTTGGAATATCTGGTACAGCACTCAAGTGGTTCACTGCCTATTTGACCAACAGAATGTTCTCTGTCCTGCTGGATAATCTGTCTTCCTCCACTGCCCCGCTCTCTTGTGGTGTGCCACAGGGTTCTATTCTTGGTCCTGTCCTCTTCTCATTGTACATGCCGCCCCTTGGATCAGTGATAACCAGACATCATTTTTCTTTTCACTGCTTTGCTGATGATGTACAAATTTATTTACCAATGAAACCTAAAAACAGTAACCTTCTCACACATTTCGCTGATTGTATTGCCGACATTAAACAGTGGCTTCATCGTAATTTTTTGTTTGTTTTTAACTTCTGTATTGTGCAGCACTTTGTGCACCTTTTGGCTGCTGGAAAGGGCTCTATAAATAAAGTCTGATTGATTGATTGATTAACCAGCAAGACCATTTATCAGCAAAATGATTGAAAACTGCACTTATAAAAACAGCTGAAACAGTCCTAAAAGTATCATATGTTGGAAAATCTGAAAAATTGTGGTTGGAAGCCAAACATCGACACCAACTTCTTTGGAAGAATTCTCTCATGAGAGGCAAAGAACAAGCCAAAGAAACACCAGATGGATCTGTTACCAACCTCTAAAGACATAAAGCGTAGCACAATGCTAGTGCCTGTTGTTGTAAATAATTTAACATAAGCGAGACTGGAAGCCTGGTTTGTCATGTCAAGGTGAGACGTTTCCACCACTGGCATCTAGAGGCAAGAAGGCCTCCAGAAAGAAAAAGAGAGTGGTGTTATACTGAAAATAGTTGCACTGCATCTGCACAGTTGTGGCGACAAAGCCAACATCAGAAGACTGGGTTATTCCAGAAAGTTATTACAATGAAGATTGTTTGACCTTGGCTTATAATGAGGTAAAGACCTGTTTTATTTTACTCACACAAAGTTAGACATCTTATCTTACCCATTTATGAAAACAAATTGAGGATTAGTTTCTGCAAAACAGTCGTACTCATTTGCACAATTAAGACATTGCTTTTAGTTCAGAGGTTGGTAAGTTGTAGTAATTTAGCAAAAGAAACGAGGAACATTTTACTACAAAATCACAACAAACATGCAAAAAATCTTAGCTTTCAGCAGCACTGGACTTCTCAAAATATTGTAAGATTATGGGATTAGTGGATAAATGATGGTGACCTTTGGAGAAGTTCTGGCAGAGTTCAGATCTAAAACTTATCAAGCATTTGTGAGAAAAACAAAAAGATCAAAGTGAATGAAAACTTCCAGTGTTTATCATTTTCTGTCAGAATTAAAAGCTACGGTAAGTGAAAACTTACTATAAATCAAGATTTGGCCTAATATGAATAATTGGTTCCTTAAAAAAAATACAATTTCCTGTTTGGTTAGCAGCATGTGCACAAACATTAAATATCAATGAATAATCTTTTTTTTTTTACATATATATCTCAAAGCTTAGGTTGTGGGATCGGCTACGGCTATTTGCACAGAATTCCAGCTCATCCTGTTCAACCTAACGTCCAGAACAACAGTGTTCCTCCGGTCCCAGGCAGTGAAGAGATTGCTTCATTAGAGCATGTACAGGTGATTATTCTTTTTATTTTATCAATTAAATGGTTTTTTATAAGGCCTTTAATCATGAGCATTTCTCTCCCCTCAGGCGACATCTTTGGTTGAAAGCAGCCCATCGAATGAAGCTGGTTTGAGTCAAATTGAAGGAGTTGTGCCAGATTTGAGCCTGAATGTACCCACACACATTGGTAACACGATTTTATTAAAAACAATTTAATCAAAATGGCTTTTAGGGTGTTTTCACATAGTATAAGAAATTGTATCATTCTGTTGTCAGATATTTCCAACACACCTGAAGCCGTACCTTCAGATTTGACTGAAGTCGATTCCACCAGTGATGAAGGTCACAGCTCTGTGGTTGCTAATTATGGAGATGATACTGGTGATCAGTGTAGCTTGGGTAAGTGCTTCACACCTGAGCAGCTGAATGGGACAAGTATGCCTTTATAATTCTGTCTCGTTGGAAAACAACAACAAGCACATTTAGAACGTAGCTAATGCTGTTCTTGGTTCATTCAGTATTTTAGTTCTCGCATCACTTTTTGCACCTGCAGGTAGAGCTGGGCCATATCATATCATATTATTCACGATAATACCAGTAAAAAAAAGCTTGCCCGGGAAAATAAATTTTATCACGATATGCTAAGTTCATGATGTAAGTACGTCAGTGTTTCCCCTACCATTTTACAAGCGGGGCGACTCGCCGCGTTAACAGAACCTAGCGCGCCGAACTACCAAACCGAACTGCGCCCCCACACACACCTGTCGGTACTGGCGTAACACTAATTAGCTGCGCACAATACTAGCTAGCTAAAAACAAACAACGCGTGGCTCAGCTGTGTCTTTCCACCCTGTTCTGGGCTGCCGGTGCGGGCACAGCTTGGCTGGGTCCCCCCACCCCCCGCAGCTGTGTCTCTTGAGATCCACAGTCCATGGATCAAGAACAGAGTCAGGTGATGAAAGACAGCATCAGAGAAATGAATCATTCCTGCAGGAACAGAGGAAGCTGAAACACCACAAGCTTCAGGATCAGCTGAAGACACCTTGTCACAAGTTTTGAAAGTTATAGCTCATTTAGATGCAACATATTTTTTGTTGTATGTTACATTTATACTCCATAGATCTTAAACTTCATTTTATTTTATTGTATTTTTTTTTAGGAAACTGCACCTGCACTTTAGTTTTTGTGGTCGATTTTGTTGATCTATGTATATTTTGTGCAGACTTTTTCAATCTAAATAACAGAAGGATCATTTTTATTTTTATACTTTGAGACTTAATACTTTACTAAATAAAGTAATTTCAGTAAAATAAACCCTTGTTGGTTTTTTTTTTGGTTTTATATAATACTGCAAAGCAACATGTTGAGTTAATTTTGTCAAATGAATAACAATAATTTCTGTTTTTTTTCCCTTCTTTTTTTTTTGTTATATCTTGAAATTTATCATTATCGTCAGAATGCTCTGAAATATCACGTTATTATATTTGAGCCATATCGCCCACCCCTTCCTGCAGAAGACACAAACAGAGCACGACTCATAAAAATATAGTTACAGTATAGGTAAATACCGGTAGTAGTTTTCATTCTACAAACATTTAAAATCCTTAGTTTAAATAAGAGATGCACCGATCCGACATTAGTATCTGTATTTGTACCAATATCTGAAAACATCTTGATCAGGTATTGTGACAATGTGATTGGTCCATAAGGACAGGAGCTGACTGCTATTTATTTTAAATATCTGACAAACAAGCTAGTGAAGTTATTGTTTTCTTCCTCTTATTTCAGCTCCTTTATTATTTATTTTTACATTATATTTATAATTCCTGAACCATTTGAAAGGTTGGTTGAAGTTTATTTTTTCATGTTCGGCCAAAGTTGTCAACCTATTGTTTTTGTCCGTTTCAGTTTCTTTATTATTATTTATTTTGCATTGGATGTTAAACTCATAATTGCACTGATTGAACAAATTAAAAGTTGTGTTGTTTTTACATGTTAGACCAAGCTATTTGTGTTTAAGTGTGCTGTACTGGTGCACAGTTTTCAGTACATTTTTAATTCAGTATATTTATGTCTGCGTTAAAAAAAACCCAAATGTTTAATTTAATTCAGCACGGTTTTTCTGTATCGGATAAGTATTGAATCGGTATATACCGATACTAAACCACAGGTATTGGTATCGGAAATGAAAAATGTGAATCGGTGCATCCCTCCCTAGTTTAAATATGAAACATTAACATTGGAGGTCTGCATCGTCTTTACAATGGTTTCACTACAGTTACTCTTCTTTTTAAAGATAATTCAGCTTTTGATCAAAGACCGTCGTCACCAGAGAGAGAAAATGACCCGAGCCCTCAGCACACAGAGCAGGATTCTGGTTTAAACCTGACCAGCAGCACTTCTCTCTCCACCGAGGCTGCAGACGGGTCTGCTGGCCTCAGAGTTACAACGGAGACTTCGAAAAGCATCCCAGAGCTTCAGGATCCTAATAACTCTGCACCCTCTGTCTCAGGCTGTGCTTCAGAGGAGGAGAAGCTGGAGGCTGAAGCAGCAGACTCCTAAGAGAAGACATCACACCGACTCTTGTTAGTGAATATTAACCAAACATTATGATGCAGAAAACAAATTATTTTGTATTTTTGAGTTGTATCACTGGAATAAGTCTTCATCAGGAGGAATTTTCTGCTGCATGCTACACTGCACATTAAAGAGGAATGTTATATTGACTTTAAAAAAATGCAGATAAAGCAAAGGAACATGAATGTACTCTGTAGAGTTTGGACATTTTCAACAACATGAAGCCTTAGTTGATTTGATTTGCTGTAAAAAAAAAAATACTGTTTGCACAAAAAATGCCTAATATGACAAATATGCAGCTTTGTTGCTTATCAAGGCCTGAAGTTTGAACTGGATTTCATTTCTTGGAATATGAGTTGATACTTTATTTTGTTTGTTTTGTGGGTACTCTTGAAAATATGCTGCTTTTTTTTTTTACCTCGGGCGTTTACCTTGTAAACCTCTTTGCCTTTAATCGCTGTTTAAATTACGTTCTTTTATAAATGTTTGGCCTTTGATGGGTGTAAATGGGCAATACATGTGTCTTTAACTGTTTTCTGTTTTGTCCTTGAAGGTTTTTATGCAAAAGAAGTTTGTTTCAGGTTCTGTAAAGCAGAACATTTCTATAAGAAGATGCTTTTATTAGAGTGAGTTTATGGTTTCAGACAGCAGGTGTCAGCAAACATCTCAGAACTGATTTTGGATGATTTTTTTTTTCTTCTCTGCAGCTGATGACAGATGAGAACTCATTTTCAGGAATGAATGAAGCTATAGTGTTTCTCCTGCTGGAAATAAGATGTTAACTACATCTGAGTGCAAATAAAATAATTTATCTGCGGAAATAAAGCAGCTTGACTTATATAAAAATAAAAATAAAAGTCTGTTTCAGTCATTGATGCCTTGATCAGTTGATTTTTACCTTAAATTCCAAAAATGTAGACATTTAGCACTGGTCCTGCACGTCGGGTTTCATTTACGAGCAAATCCAGCTTCACGGTTACAAATGGGTAAAATCAAATGCATAAAAATGTGGTCCATCATGTATGTTAATTGTGCACAATACCAAACAGATGCCAGTCTTAATTCAAACAAAGATAAAAAAACTTAATCAGCATGACATTAAAACATAAATTGCACACGTCGTGTTCTTGATTCTTGAGCAGTTTAACTAAAAAGCTGCAAAAAAACGGGGATGCTATAGCAACGCAAAGCGGGGAATGTGCCTCAATTATTTACAGAGGCACTCCTCAGTTGTGTGTGTGTGGGGTGGGGGGGGGGGGGGAGGCAGGGATGGGCATCATGGGAAAGAAAAGGCAGAGTGGAGGACGAAGAAAGACCAGAAGAAGATGGATTTGTCTTATTCTTCCAGAGTGGATGCCTGGTTCTCCTAAAGAGGCTTCCCTCCAGCATCCCTGGTGAAGTAGGGTCATATTAGTCGTGTGAGTGACAGCTGGTTGTGTGCCCAAAGCCTCAGTCATATCAAATAAATACTCTTTCTGTGCACAGTTTGATTTTGTGTGTTAGTTATGTGTCACATCCGCTGCTCTGTCTCTCTAGGCCTGTGGAACGTCAAGCCGCCCAGAGCAAAACCCAGCATCTGGGTGTCAGGAGGAGCAGGGAGGTGAAAGAAGGCCACCTCAGGAGGAGCGTGTTTTCACTCTTCCTCCCTCTTCTGTAACAGTTTCAGAGGCCAGCGTGACGCAGCTGAACCCACATGTCAGCTCAGCTTCATCTCAAGCTCTGGGAGGCTCAGCTCACAGGCACCAGCGTTCAGCCTCGCTCTGCAGCATGACAAATTGTGGAGCAGAATATCGTCATTGAAAATAAAGAGAGGGGGTAAGAAGTGGAGGACTGAACTACAATTTACAGCTGAGTCTGTTACAAATCGATGTCCTATTGATGTAAATGTAAAGCAACAGCATGTGTATCCTTGTAAACAGACCGCCTTGATGTTTGGGGATAAATCCCTCCCAGATTTTCTTATCATCCTCATCGCAAGCAAACACTGACAAAAAGGAAGCTGTATTTAGAAATGCTGAGAGGTGGATTTGCCTACAAGCCTCACACAGTTTGTACACCAGAGCCTGGGAATGATTGTAGTAAGTGCCTGTTTCTGTTAGACCTGCACCGTACAGGCTGTAATTACATTCATTCACGTGCCAGAACCATCACTCTGATGGGACCGAATCCATTAAGAGGTTGTTTGTATCTCCTGCACTTGGTTCCAGTGAGCTGTGTGTTTTGTGCTGATTATCCAGGAGATTGGATACAGCACCAGCAATTGCAGATTTTCTTGGATTTATCCTAAATTATATTTCAACACATACATGAGCTATTTAGGTTTTAGAAAAACTGGTAAATAAAATGTTAAAAGAATCCAAATATTTCTTGATTTGAACATTTTATTTTCCCACCAATCTGGCTTTAGGAAACTACACAGCACAATGGCTGCTTCACTGGGATTACTGTGCTACACTTTACCTAGACCTGTCCAAAGCCTTTGATACTGTAGATCATGACATCTTATGCCATAAGATCTCAGATACTGGTTTCTCAGATCACACAGTTGGTTGGTTTTCTAACTATCTCTCAGATCAGATTTGATACAACGGTACATCGTCTAGCTATTTAGCAATCACTAATGGTGTGCCACAAGGCTCAGTTTTGGGACCCACTCTTTTTACAATTTATATAAATAACATAGGTCAAAACATTCCTGACGCTTTCTTTTTCCTCTATGCTGACAATACAATTGTTTATTGCTGAACTAACACAGTTGCCAAGGTTTTCCAGCTTCTACGGTCTGCATTTGACATCATTTAGTCTGACTTATTCCATTTCACACTGGTGCTAAATGCAGACAAAACCAAAGGGATGTTTTCAAACCGAAAGCTGGTGCCAGCAGCTATTCCTTCTATGTCATCCTTGCTTGGTGTTCCTATTGAGTTTGTGGATTTTTACAAATACTGTACTTGGGATTTTTAATTGATGCACATCTCTCTTTTAAGCCCCATTTTGAAAGCTTGATAAAGAAACTGAAACTGGGTTTCTTTTGTAGAAATAGATCTTGTTTAACTCTGAATGCCAGGAAATGCCTTGTAGCTGCTACTTTCCTACCAGCCATTGATTATGGTGACATTATTTACATGAATGCTACTGCCAGCTGCTTGCAGATGTTTGATGCTGTCTACCATGGGGCACTAAGGTTCATAACTGCATGTAACCGTACCCATCACTTCACTCATTGGTCAGTTGGTCTTCATTACTTCACGCAGGTTCTCACACTGGTACATCTTCATCTATAAATCACTCCTTGGTCTGCTGCCTTTATATTTCACTCACATGTCATATTGTCAGTGCAGTTACGGCGTGCGCTCTCAGGGATTCATTACCTTCAGTGTTCCCTCAGTGATGACTGAAATGGGCAAAAAGACCTTTTCTTACTCTGTAACCTGAAACACCTTGCAAAAAGATTTGAAGCTGCATGTCCACTTTGATATCCTTATGAAATGTTGACGTTATGGTGTTTTAAAGGTTTGGTAATCATTTTAAAACCAGATTTGTGAGGCGGTTGCCTACCAGTCAGTATTTGCTTGCAAGTACGTATGTATTAACCTTTGGATTGTATTTTTATCCACAAACTATGTGACTGACTGATATTTAAAGTTGCGCTTTAATCAATTTTTACTGAACACTACCAACAACTAATAGAATCTTCTACAATGAACCTGGACCTCATTGTAATGATTAATAGAATACCCAGAGAATATGGACTGAAGCGAACATATTCCAAGACTCAGTAAAGTTTAACTGTGTTTATTTATAAGTGCTATTATCAGCAACGTACATGGGGAGGGACTGGACCAGAAGGAATTGTGGTTTGTCGAGGGAGCAGGTGATCCAGTGGTTCCAGTAAGCAAAAGGAGGACGGCTGAGGAGAGTTCCTGGTTGAGGTATAGGTAAGTGGCTGGAAGTTGAAGTGACAGCTTCACAGGGGAGCCCGAGGCCGTACGGTGGAAATCCAGGAACAGGTAAGCAGCAGAAGCAACGCTGAAATCACAAAGGAACACAAGATAAGTTTGATCTTTCATTAGATAATGAAAAGTGGCCAGAAACACACTACCGTTAGGCATGTAATGCTCCAGCGGCGATTGGATGTCTTCTGCAGCCTTTTGTACTCCTGCAGCTCATCAAGGAGATGGTCCACAGGTGTGGCTTGCTGGCGCCATCTCATGACTGCAGGAAGCTGAAGAGCTGAACTCCCACACTCATGACATCTGACTTGAAACAAAATCTTCAAAACAGCAGAATTTTAAAGCAAAATAGCTAATATAGATATTTTAATTGGTAAAAAATGGCAAATTTTTATTAGCACGTGATTAGCTTTTCGATATTGCGAGCAAGTTGCTCCCGCCTGCAGGGGGCGCTGCAGCAAGTGAGTTTGCTTGATAGATAAAGCAATTTGCTTTAGGTCTGATGGCTTCCTGGCTGGCAACACGATGGCTCAGTGGTTAGCACTGTTGCCTCACAGCAAGAAGGTCCTGGGTTCAATCCCCGGTTGGACCTGAGGTCTTTCTGTGTGGAGTTTGCATGTTCTTCTCGTGTTTGCATGGGTTTTCTCCGGGTACTCCAGTTTCCTCCCACAGACCAAAAACATGCTTGTTAGGCTGATTGGTAACTCTAAATTGTCCCTAGGTGTGAGTGAGAGAGTGAATGTTTGTTTGTCTTGTTTGTCTCTATGTGGCCCTGTGATGGACTTGCGACCTGTCCAGGGTGTACCCCGCCCCTCGCACAGTGATTGCTGGACATGGGCACCAGCGACCCCCGTGACCCAAAATGGAATAAGCGGGTAAAGATAATGGATGGATGGATGGATGGCTTCCTGGCTCATGGGCTGAGACTAGCAGCCCCAGGATTAATGTATTCAAATTTGTTGAATTAAAAGTACTAATAGTTCACCACACAATCAATATGTTACAAAACAGTCTTGCTTTCAAAAAATTTCTGAAGAATTGCCAACAAAATGTACTTAAAGTAAAAGAAAAAAGAAGAGAAGC